TAAAATTTTGGTCAAATGTTGTCCTTCAGTATCATCTCTCTCTCTCTCTCTCTCTCTCTCTCTCTCTCTCTCTGTCTGTCAAGGAAAACAAATGTTTGTTGACTAATATAATTTCTGGGCTCTTTTGCTCTCCTTATTGTGGTGACTATTTTATATTCAAACTTCTACAGGAAATGATGATAATCAAGACTAACATCTTTGCCTATTTCACAATTTTTGGTATCAAGGCTTATTTGACTAAGCCAGACTGAAATTGATATAATTGCACAATGTATTTTTCCCATCTTTAGCCAATGATGATTTTTACCTTTGTCCTAATTAGTCAATGGTCTCCAGGGGTGGGAAACCTATGTGAGAAATTAAGAAACAATAAAACAAAACCAAAAGAATGAAAAAAAAATAGGAGACAATGTGCAATATCTCAACAACTCAAAAACAACTGACCTGAAAAATAGATCCAGGAGAGAGAATTTAAAAATTATTGGACTACCTGAAAATCATGATCAAAAAAAGAGCCTAGACATCATCTCTCAAAAAAAATTATCAGGTAAAACTGCCCTGATACTGTAGAACCAGAGGGTAAAACAGAAATGGAAAGAATCCACCAATCACCTCCTGAAAGAGATAACAAAATGAAAACTCCTAGGAATATTATTATCAAATTCCAGAGTGCCAGGTCAAGGAGAAAATATTTCAAGCATCCAGAAAGAAAAAATTTAAATATCATGGAGCTACAGTCAGGATGACACAAGATTTAGCAGCTTCTACATGAAAGGATCAGAGGACTTAGAATATGGTTCTGGGGAGCAAAGGAGCTAGGATTACAACCAAGAATCACCTACCCAGCAAAACTCAGTATAAACCTTCAGGGGGAAAAATGGACATTCAATGAGACAGAGGACTTTCAAGCATTCTTGATGCAAAGACCAAAGCTGAATAGAAAAATTGACTTTCAAAGAGAAGCATAAAAAGATAAACAGGAAAGAGAAGTCAAGAGGGACTTAAGTTTAAACTGTTTACATTTCTACATGGGATGATGATACTTGTAATGCAAAAGAACTTTCTCATTATTAGGGCAGTTAGAAGGAGTATATATAGAAGGGGCACAAGTTTGAGTTGAATATAAGGGGATATCTAAAAAATAAAATAGAAGGCTGAGAAAGAAGAATGTACTGGGAGAAAGAGAAAGGGAGAGGTAGAATGAGATGAGAGAGGATATCTACCCAGTACCATGTAGATATCTACACATACAAGGCAGTGGAGTGCATTCTGAGGAGAATTACACTAATAATAGTATACGTAAAGTTTTACTTTCATATTTCAGTGGATCTATATTTTCGATGATGTAGGTATTCGCTTCTCTAATCACTTGCTTTTTCCTGTGGAGTTAGGCCAATCGTTTTTAGGTGATTCTGTATCTCACTTAGTAGGTTCTGCTGTGTTCCAGGTCTTAATGCAATCATAATTATCATTTGTAAATAAGACTATCTGTAGGACCTAATTGTCCCCAGGGAATTCATCTTCCACTTGAACTCTATACTGGACTTGCTCCAGTATGGTGGTAGACACCTTAAGGAGGCATAAGTAGCTCCGGTTTATGCTTTGCATTGCTTAATCAGATTATAATGGGCCCAAATTATATCTACTATTGTATTGCCTAAGGAATCTTGTATGATTTGACATATACATGGTAGACTGGAGACTGGAGGACAGCCTTTAGATTTGCTCTAAGTTTTTATAGAAAATACTTTTAAAAATAGATAATAAACAATAACAACAACAAAAAAAAACCACAGGGATCTTACGTTCTTTCTCTTTCTCACAGTTGTACACAATAAAGATACCGATTCTAAAGACATAAGACTTGGGTTCAAATCTTGTTTCTGGTATTTACTGCCTGTGTGGCCTTGGCCATGTTGCTTAGCTTTCCTGGGATTAAATTTCATCATCTGTAAAAGGAAAGGATTAGAGCAAATGAACACTAAGCTCCTTATCAACTCTAGATACGTTGTTGTTCATCCTTTGTTGAAATTTTGAAATGACATTACGCTTGATGTCTTGACTTGTGGGTGAATTGAATTTGAATGAAACAGAGTTGCACCAAGTCATCAGTCCCACTATCTCCTCCAGAGTCATCAAAGTCCAGTGGCAGAAAAAAAGTCAAGATGACTGGTAATGGCCTGGGATACAGGGGATGACCTTGGCGTTATTGATTTCTTTCTTTTTTTTGTAGTTTAATTTATTTATTTTTAGTTTTTAACATTCACTTCCATTAGATTTTGAGTTCCAAATTTTCTCCCCATCTCTTCCCTCCCCCACTCCAGCTCTCCCCTCCCCCCACCCCAAGGCATTGTTGATTTCTGACCAAGCTCTAAGAGCCCTGGAGTGTCTGTTTCAGCCACCTTTTTGGCCATTGGAACAGATGTTCTCATCTGCCCATAACATCAGGTGAAGTCTTCACATGCTTGGGGTAGACATCCCCCTAACTATTCAATGAGTTTGAGGACTGTGAGTTACCCTCAACTGTCAAGATGGTTTTATTGGGGTATGGCTACATGCTATAGCTTCTTGGAGCCACAGATGAGAGGTGGATACCAAAGGTAGGTAAGCAGCCCTGAAAAGAGCTTGGCAAGCCCTGGAACCAGGAGTCCTAGTCCTCCCTGAACAGGCTATACATCCCAGCTCTAGGTATGTGAACTCATGATCCTATGTTGTCTGTTGTAGAATATTGTTTGTGAAAACCTGCCTGTTCCCTACTCATGTCTGCATCACAAAGCTTATAATTGATGCTTGCTATATATTGTGTATCACATACTACATATGATATATGAAAATTTTAAATATATATGACAGAGGGAAGAATGCAATAGGGAAAATATATTATTCTCTCCCTGGTCATTCTCCTCTAGGTGCTTTATAAGCAGCCCCAGGTAATTTCAATAACACTGCCAAGAGGAATCATAGGAGACTGAGAAGCAATGGGAGAGAAAAATTAAGGCACATTTCCAAACTCCTAGACTCATAGAAAGAGGTGCCACAGAAAGGATGCTCAATTCTTAGATGATGGGCACATAGCTAGGACTGTGAAAGTTACCCTCAGGTAACAAGGTATTAAAGAGGGGAACTTGCTTGTAGGATGCAAGAAGTTATAACTCCAGTCCCCAGGAGACTTCTTGTTTCATGGCAGAAGCCATAGGAAACACCACCTGAGGAAGGGAAGGCTTCAGCTTTGGTAATAGCTAGCATTTAGGTTACTTTAAGATTTGCAAAGCACTTCACACAAATCTCATTTTATCCTCAAAACAACCCTGAAAGATAATTGCTATTATTATCATTTCCCATTTTACAGAAAAGGAAACTGAGGCAAACAAAAGTTAAGTGATTTTCCTAGGTCACATCACCAATAGCTATCTAAGGCTGGATATGAACTCAGATCTTTCTGGCTCCAGGTCCAGTGTTCTATACACCTCACCACCTATCTGCTCATGAGTTTTTGATCTGTACCAGAGGTGGGGAACCTGCGGCCTCGAGGGCACATGTGGCCTTCTAGGTCCTTGGGTGTGGCCTTTTAACTGAGTTCAAGTTTTACACAAGTCCTTTTATTTAGGGGATTTGTCGGACAGCTAGGTGGTGCAGTGGTTACAGCACCAGCCGTGGAGTCAGGAGGACTTGAGTTCAAATTCAGTCTCAGACTTTATACCTACTAGCTGTGTGATGCTGGGCAAGTCATTTAACCCCAATTGCCTTACCCCCCCCCCCAAAATGAGGAGATTTGTCCTGTGAAGTTCAAAGAACTGTACTTGAGGACATAGAGGGCCACAGGTTCCCCACCCCTAATCTATACTTTAATCTGCCAGGGACTCCAAAGTGCTCTTCATCTATGGGAACTTCACAGAGATCTGGTTCCCTGAAATAAAGAATGGTCATACTTTCTTCTGAGAGATAAGGAGAATAGCAATGAAAATGACATGGCAGATAGGACACCATATCCAACAATGGAAGAAGATGTCTGCCCTCATTTACTAGGAGCTCAAGGGAGCTTTCAGGAAATACTGTGACTGAGAGAGCCACAGTGGAATTTAGTGATGGGAAGCAGTGACCTGCAACATGTTAGGAGCTGTAGGAAGAGTTATCTGTGTGTACATAGTGATGGAGCAGGAGATAGGGGGTACAGGAAGGATGGAACTGTGTAGTTAGCTGGGGTAACTATAGAGGAGAGTGCTGAGGAGGAGGAGGAGGAGGAGGATTTCCTGTGGTACCAAACCCAGGGTAATTCCATAACTGACTGAAACCAGGCTCCTTGGTTAGAGTTGTCACCCTCAGGTGTTTTTACTTTAATAAGGGCTCTGATACGATCACTGACTTTTCAATAAACTCATTCACTCTTTGAGCTTTGTTCCTGCAAGGTGAGTTAGTTACTGTCACACTGGGGGACATGAGATAGGAAATTCACAGATGATTTGGTAAGAAAGAAATGAGATAAATAATTGAGAAATCTCTTAAAGTGTATCTCAGTCCTTCATGTCTAGAGACAGCCTTTGTGAAAATGGTTACAATAATAAAACTGAGAGTTAGAACAGAATTTACAGATCAGCTAGCATAGCATCTTCAACATACAGACAAGGAAACTAAGTTCCTTATTTACTTATACAATCAGTTGACACAGAGAGAGACACGTACAATTGCAGTCACATAGGGCCTGGTAAGTAAGTGATCAGATAGAAAGTCTGTGTGAAATGGGCCACATAATAACACAATTTTGCATCTTAGCTTAGTGTCAGAGATCATTTTCTCCTTCTGTTCAGGTAGTCCTTTCACCTGCAGCTTTGACCGCAAACAGTTTTGTCTAGGCTGCAAAAAGACACCTGGGGAAGTAGTAGGCAATGAGAACCATACTTGGCATTCTTATTCTGTGGCAGCTGTTCAGACTCACTCACCCCGCCCCCATCCTGTGTTACTTTAGTGTTGGAAGGAAATGAAGACCACAATGAGGACAATGTAGAAGTTTTAGCACCTTCCTTATGGGTTCCCCACCCCCATAGTTCAGTGTGTGTAGGGAGATGGCACAGATTCTAACTGCCATGAAGTGACTCTTAGCAGCCCCAGCCTTGTGTTGGCACCAAGTGTCTGCACACTCCTGGCTCAGCAATGACATCCACTCTTCAGGAATTCATCCACTCTCTGAATCCCAGAACCCTCCCAAGAGTCCTTCAGATCCAGTCAGGCATCTATTTCCAAGGTAAGCTGCAGTTTCCTTTTAACAAAAAAAGCATTAAGGAGAGAAGACATGTAGCCGTCATTCTTGCACTTTGCGGAAAAGGGAATGGAAGGGAAGGATTAAGAAGGCCATGCGAGAATTCTTTTAAAGTAACCATTCCAACAGTTTTGGAAGAGATCATATGTACCTGCTGAAAGGACCAGATAATGGTAATTTGTGGGGAGTCCACATTGGTCATAGTGGAATGGAAGGAAATAGAATTCTTTTTTTTTTTGACTAAGAGGTCTAGCCATCAATCAATAATCATTAATGAAGTGTTTACTATATGCCAACTAAGTAAGAGGGATAAAAAGAAATAAAAAAAAAACAGTCCCTGCCTTCCAGGAGTTCATATTCTAGTGGATTGTGATTAGGTGATTAGAGGCAATTAGGAGTTTTGTTTTCTTGGCATCCACTGAAATGTACTTTCACTCTTATTTTGCAGTGCCAAACTTTTCTACTTGGAATAATGACAAACCTTTGATTTGAAGGTGCATTCGAGCAAATGCTGTGCTAAAGTTTATTTAACTTTATTTCAGGATCTCATTCTATGGAATCATGACAAAAAAAATCTGACATTCAGAATTTAGATTTAAACAATGGAAAAGGATAATTATAAATTCTGTTGTAGGTTCTTAGAAATACAGTGAACAAGAGAGATTATTTAAAGGCTTAAAGGATGCTTTAAAAGTTTGGGTCCTTTCACATTGTTTGGAAAATATGAGTAACATACGTAGTCTTTTATAAAAAAAATCTTAGGCTGTCACCCATGACTTGCATATGCATATATATCGAAATCAAGATTATAGATTCAACTCAATAAAACATTTAATAAGCAAGTGCATTTGGATAAAGCATTATGCTGGGTACTGGGTATACAAAGCTGTAAAAAGGACAGCTCCTGCCCTCAAAAAGCATCCAGTCTAATGAAGAAAGGGATAAAACATTTCATATATGTATGTATGTATATGTGTGTGTATGTATATATGTATATGTGTATATCTATGTAGAGAGAGTAGTGTGTATGTGTGCAAATGCATATATGTGTATATAAGTATACACACACATACATACATACACATATATATACACACAAACAAATAAATGGTCTGCCAGGTATGGTAGAATGGTAGAAAGAGATGGGCATAAAGCAGAGCCAGAGAAAACACCAAAAAACATCTGAGGGGGAAAATGTCCCTTTCCTATGATGTAATGGGGAAAGGTTAAGGGAAGGTTTATTGGGGGAAATGACATTGGAGTCAGACCTTGAAGGAAGGGAGGAAGTTCAAAACTTGGAATGGGGGAGGTGGAATGGAGGGGAATCTATTACAAATGGGTTGGGGCAGGAAGAACGGGAATTTGCATGAACAAAGAATGAAAAAGATATGAGTTTTATGAGAATAGGAGGCAAAAAGTATGATGGAAAGATCAAAGCCCTGTGGAGGGCCTTGATCATCAGGATCAAGAACTTTAGCTTTATTTAATATACAATGAGATATCACTGAAAGTTTTTGAGATGATATGATAATCATGGTGGCATAGTAAGGTTACTTGGGAATTTGTGTGGAAAATAGAATGCAAAGGGGGTTGACTCAAAACAGAAATACCATTTGTAAGACCATTAGAATCGTCCATTAGAATTAGCATAGAGTAAGTAGGGCTTTATCCCATAGTATTGAAATCTAAGAAATACACATCCTCCCCTCAGAAATTGCTGTCCTCATCTCTGACTTTTTATTCCTCTTTGGCCTGCACTGCTACATGACATAACCATCCCCAAGCCATCAGCAACAGGATTTCATTACTATGGAATTCTTCTCTTAGGGCCTGCCCTATCCATCAACCTCCTTGGGGATGAGGGTCAAATTCTCTGTCAGATGGGCTGTTTCCTCTCCTGGTATGGTTAGACTCTGTGCTGGCATTCCTTCTACTCGTCCTACTGAATTTGCCAGGTACAAGAATTCTAAATTAAAACTCAGATGATCTACATGAGAAGTAATGAGGGCACAAACTAGGGTGGCTGTAATGGGAGTGAAGTCAAATTAGAAGCAAGAGCTAATGCACACATAGAGGCAACAGGACTTGACATCTGATTGGAGCAAGGAGGTGATGATGAGAAAAAGGTCAAAAGTAACTTTAAGATTATAAGCCTAAGTAACTGGAAGGATAATGGTGCCAATTGACTTGAATCTTATTCTTGGGTTAGAGTCTATGATTCTTTTTTTTTTTTAAGGGATGATTCCATAGTCACAGACCATACTTTTAACTCAAGAGGAATCATAGATTCGCAAATATAATTAGACAAAATATTCATCTATCAATGAATAAACATTTATTATGTACCTACTATGTGTCAGGAACCATGCCAAGTTTTGGGGATACAAAAAAAAATGTGAAAGATAGTCCCAGCCCTCAAGGAACTTTCAGTGAAGATAATGTACAAACAAATAGACAATCTAGGTCTTCATTTTTAAAAGTGAAGGAACTGAGGCTCAAAGTGACTTTTGTCCAAATCCAGATGTATGAAGCAACAAAGCTGTAAATCATATCCAAATCCTCCAATTCAACACTGTACAGTGAACGAGTACTAGCTCTGGAGTTAGAGAATACACATTTAAATCCTGCCGGTGAAGCTTACCACTTGGGTGATCTTGAATAAGTTTCCCTAATACTGAATTTCCTTATCTGAGAAATATGAGTTTTGGACAGAAAGTCTGTAATGTCTCTTCCAGCTCTAGACTGACAATTACTCTAACTATAGTGTTATTTCTTTTGAACCATGTTGAGAGTCCAAAAATACAGGGTGACATGGGGTCACTTATAGTCCTCAGCAGCATAATATATAGTCCTTGGTCCAGAGGAATTTGTAACCCCATTGGAAAGTCCATGAGAAGAAAAACAGAAACCCAGTTATTAGTAGTCCATATTCAATTGCTGTTCAGTCATTTTTTTCAGTCATGTCTGTCTCTTTGTGACCCCTTTGGGGTTTTCTTGGCAAAGATACTGGAGTGGTTTGCCATTTCCTTCTCCAGCTCATTTTACAGATGGAGAAATTGAGGCAAATAGGGTTAAGTGACTTCCCCAGGGTCACATAGCTAACATGTGTTGGAGGCTAGGTTTGAACTCAGGTCTTCCTGACTCCAGGCCCAGCACTTTATCTACTGAGCCACTTACCAGCCCCAGATAGATGAAACCTAGAAACTTAAAACAAGCATGCAACTTGAATTCAAGATCATGAGGTTAGGTACCAGGGGCAGCAAGATGGCATAGTGGATTGAACACTGGGCCTACAATCAGGAACACCTGAATTCAAATATGGCCCCAGATACTACCTACAAAACTTTATTCTTATCCCTATTACATTTCATCTTGCTAGAGGGAATCCACATTAGAACTTAAATTGCCGAAGAGCTGAATGAGAAATTGAAAAGCAAAGCCACTATGCTGAATTGGAATTTTAATTAAGAGAATTGTAACAAAATTTATCTTTAATTCTTTCATCTGAGAAATGAAGGGGTTGATCTTAAAGGCCCCCTTTCTTCTCTCTCTCTATCTCCACTTGCTATTTTCTTTCTTTTTTTTTAAGGCAATTGGGATTAAGTGACTTGCCCAGGGTCACATAGCTAGTAGGTGTCAAGTGTTTGGTCTGAGGCCAGATTTGAACTCAGGTCCTCATGACTTCAGAGCTGGTGCTCTATCCACTGCCCCACCTAGCTGCCCCACTCCACCTGCTATTTTATTAATGTAGGAAACTCCTGGCATGGAATTTCCCTCTATTAATTTGCAGTGCAGCCAGTTCTCTGTAACTTGACAGTCTAAAAGAGTTATCTGGGTACACTGAGTGGTCAAATGACCTGCTCATTGTCACACAGCCAGTATATTGTCAGAGGCAGGACTTGAACCAGGTCTTTCTGACTCTAAGAGCAGCTGTCTATATCATATGCTATGCCATCTAACCAGAATCTCTTATAACTCTGAAAATTTATGACAATAACCAGAATGGTACCTTATTAAGGATGGGGAAGGAGAAGAGGACAAAGACTGGAAATTTTCTTTTTCTGGACCAGTGGAACTTCTATGCCAGTCTAGATAAGAGAAAGTTGATGACATTCTTATATGCCTGGTAGAGTCTGACAACTTTTGTTCCTAGAGAAGTGGTAAGACACCCTTGTTGAGTTTTATGTCAAAGTGTCCTATTTGAGTTGCAAAATGTTCATGAGAATTTTAATGTTGGAAACTGTTTTTAGTGCCAAATTAAAGTCCACACCAAAATAAAATTATTTATTGAGTATCTGCTGATGGATACAGACCACTTTGAAATTTCTAAGAATTAATTGCTGCTAAGTAAATTATGGCCTATTAGAAATAGGATGTATCAATGAAAATTGATAGAAATAATGCTTATTAAAGGAATATTTATTCTATTAAAAGATACTCCATTCATGAAATCCATTTTAACCTTCACAATTCAGAGAATCAACAGTAGTCAACATTTTTATATTTGATTCCACTTTGTGTCAATGAACAAATTGCCCCTCCCTCCCCCTCTGCCCCCAGAGTGCCAAATTAGAATTCACTCCTTCTTTCCCTCTGTTCCCTGGCTTTTTCAAAGTACAGATCAGGTGCCACCTTACATCCCCAAACCTTCACTCATCCTCCCAGGTATTAGCATTCCCTCCCTCATGAAATTACTTTTATATTTACTTACTTGTGTTCATGTTGTATCCCCCCTCCCCACGAGCTTCTTGAAAACAGAGACTACTTTTTTTGTTCTAATATAGGTCCTGACACACCATAAGTGCTTGACAATGTTAGTTGAATTTAATCTAGACAAACCTTTAATTTCAAAATGTAGATATAGCACCAGGTACAATTTTTTTTTCTGCTTCAAGGTATTAACAAATGTCAGTTGCTAAAGACAAAAGGGAAGTCTCTGATATGATCTGGTAAAGACTAAAGTATGAGGATGCATTGGTTCTATT